TCTAGGTAAGGTGAAATTCAAGAAAACCCAATGTTGGGCTAAGTTTAGCACATGCATGCTATACTTGCTGGCTTCAGAAACTACCTCCTCACCAGACTGGATATTTAGGCATGTTCTTACCCTCCCCTTGTATGGTATGGGGACCCTAGGCACTTGTCATGCAAGGACACTCTGCAACAAAGTATTAGAAATAGAGCCTAAACTGGGTTAAGCTTTTATGCTCTGAATGTACATATTAACAAAACAACTTTTTTTCCTAAAGCACATAAAGAAAATGCAGCAGCATTATGCAAACCACAGATTATTTAAAAATATTGACAAAACGCACATAAGGCATTTGGACTCTGCATGGCGAAGGGAAGGGCAAGCAAAGTTTCAGTTATGAAACTGGTGACTGGTGAACAAGGAAAAATGTGCGATTCAACTTGCCTAACCCATAGTTCCTCTGTGGGGAAACTTCACACCGTCTCTGTAGATTAGTGTGAATCACACTACTTCTCCCACAGGAATTATGTCCCACTTCATTTTCCCCAGGGACATTATCTAAATGTATTAGATTTACAACAAAATTGGTGAAAACACTATGAAACTGGTAGACACATCACATTATAATTTCTTCAGAGTAGTAGTAACAAACATCAGTGAAATATATTCTATTGACCGTTGGTACAGTGGCCTGTTTACTAATATGGGATAATAATTGTGGGAAGATGATAGTATAGAAAAGAAAAAAAGAAAGAACTAGAGCCAAAGAAAGCATGTGCTCCACGCAATGAAATTATCATCTATAGAGCTGAGATAATTCGAAGCTTGCTGTTAAATTTCAACAGCACTGTCAGATTGACAGTTAAACTAAATCACACACACAAGACCCATATAATTACTGTGTGGAAAAAGGCAGGACAGCAGCCTTTGGCTCTAGCATGAACTTTTGGTTAGAGCCAGGCATGATGGTACTATCACAGATGATGCTAACAAGCACTTAGGAAAGTATTTTTTCTTGCTCTTGTTGCGTGTATCTACTGTGAGAAATATCTATTTTAATTTTCACATGATTCAGAACTGGGGGAAAAGGAAAGGAACAGAACTGGATTTTGTCCAAATGCATTCAATAGTTCACTTGAAATTTAACTAAGGATCACTAATGAAATAGACTGGATGAATTCTAGAGGATAATTGCAGAGCAGGCTAGACCTCGGAAAAGAACAGTCTGAGTTCAAGTGCAGTTTGCAAGTCACGTCTAGTATGTTTTTCTACTGTGACAAATAATCTGGCGAGTATTTTGTTGCACCCATAAAAACCTGAAGACTGAAGATAACCTGTTTCCAGCTTCCGAGAACTGTTCACAATAAAAAAGCCTGAAACGGACTAAATTCTAAATTTGCTGTTGACTTCACTGCCATTGAGAACAAAGCGAGCTAATCTCCAGGGGAAGAGGGCTTTACAAGCTCTTCCTCCTTCCCACCACACAGCCGCTTCTTTACTGCCGCACGGGGCGGAGGACTCACCTGGCCACCAGATGATCAAATCCTTGCATCACCATATTCCACGGAGGATGCTCTGAGGATGCATGCTGCTGTCAGGAGGCCCAAAAATTTACAGCTGCTGTCAAGGACTCAACCACTAAGTAGTCGAACAGCAGGGGACCCATGTATTCTCTAAGGCTGTTAAGGCCAAACCGCCTTAATGAGAGCTCTCACAGGATTTATTAGAAAATTACCACCTTCTGGTACTGACAAGTCAGACCTCTGTCAGGCTTGATACTGGCCACCGTGGGTCAAAATGAGAGATTGAGACCACTGGGAAAATATACTTCTCCTTACTAGATTTTGGGAATTTACATAATCACTGTGGAACCCAACTACGTTTCTGCCATATTTAGTGATAGATAATTTCTGTGCCCATTGAGGGTTTTTACCATTTCCTACACAGGTGATAATAATGACCAGACACGTTGCCGTAGTTTTCCTTGCAGTTACAGAGTAAAGGGATTCACTGCAGCTAATGGATAGTTACATGGTTCTTGCTGCCACTGATAAGCAATATAGAGCCTTAAAATAGGTTTAACACCAGTTGCCTGTGAACTGAACCCATGTTCATATTTATTTACTACTTACTATGCTCTGCAGCATGATTGCTTTAAAGCCCTTATAGAATTAAATACAGATTATGACCAAAAGTGAGTGAATGCTTTAATCCGGAATCAGTAAATCTCCTCCTAAAAATCTTTTTGCATGGGAAGTACTTCCTAGTATGAATGATGATGATACTAATTTGAATGGTCAGTACTAATTTTATAATAAGGGAGAGCTGCCAGCACACTCTTAGTCTATGAATGCTTATTAATTTCTCTTTGAACAAGTAATGACAACAAAAGAGGAGGAAGCGATGGTGCTGAATTCTGACAGGATTATTCCTTTATAAGGAACTCAAGTAAAGCTACCAGCTTTTCAGAGAGCCTCTTTTGGTGTCAAAAATAACATCCAAGTAAATGTCACTCCAGAACGAAGATAATTAGTATGTTAGAGACTTGTATGGCAACAGGCATGTATAATTTAGATTCTAACTACACATAAACAGTTACATACAGCTGAGGACATGCGTTCAGCAGACAAACAATTTGCAAATATTATTCTGTTGACGCAGAGACACAAAGTTCAAGGTGGCCTCAGTTAGTAAACAAGGACGGAAAATGTACCTGACACATTTACCCCACGCCTAAAAACCAAGCCATTTAGAAGAAGACATCTGGATGTTCAAAAATTAGCATGACGGTATTCAGAGCCCATCAAAACATGCAGCCATGGCTTGGCGTCTAGTAGCTAAGCGACGTACTTCATACATTCAAAACATAGTTGTAAAAGTTGGATCCTCCTGCCAATTGCTGCCCTCTCATTGAAAAGCTAAACTGGAAAAAATCTCTCTTTAGTTCAAAGTGGGGCTGTTTTCTCTGGGAAACATCTCTAATGCTTTTTCATCCTTTAACCCTTTTCATGTTTACATTCCAAGAGGAACAAATAGATTCATGTTGACATTTCAAGTGTAAGCATTCACATACTCCCTGCAAAGAACATGATGAACACATGTAGCAGGAAGGTACAGTCTTGTTCTTATTGAGTCAAATACTGAAATGTAATGCCAAACAATGTGCGTGTGCACACAGCAAATCCTTAAAGCAGATTAAGTTATACTGAATTGCATGGAGGAGCTAATCCCATAGTTAAACGTGTTAAAATGTAAACCAAGAAAACGGAAGCCTCTGCTTTTTTCTTGCAAAGCATTTACATCCTTAAGTAACACTGCAAGCAATATTTGCATCTTAAGAGTGGAAGGAGACCACAGGAACTGTGACATTTTGGTTAGTTTAGGTACTACTTACATCCCAAAGAAGTTACTCTACGCATGGAAGATGCATTGCTCAGGAGTCTTTGAAAGTGGGTTACTGATTAGCAGCACACTCTTATTCTGGCAGGAGGGCATCCATGCAAAGAATTACAGATAAGCATCTGTAAAGCAAGTGCACTTAAAATTCACATCCTACCTTAATCCAAATTAACTTAATAATTGATATTAAGATTCAGAGTCTGCCACCCTAAGAGTTTCTGAATTGTAATAAATCCCAGGGAAATAAATGGGAATACTGGCAGAGAAAAACACTGGTGAAAAGTGATGGATTCTGGCCCAGGCTCAACTAATAAGCCATTAGAAAGGATGTTTATAGAAAACAGCAAGAGCGTTCTGACCCAGTCTAGGTAGCCTGCTTTCATTCAGATCATAATGATAAAAAAATGAAAGCTTGCAAATTAGACCGATGGGCTTTAAACTGCTAAAAAAGGCTCCTGCTGTACAAGTGATGCCTGACTGACACAGAACCTAATGTTTCAACTATTTACAGCTATAAAAGCAAGCCAGGCGCTTTTTTCCCCCCTTCTGGAGCAACTCCTTCCACAAACCATCCAAAGCATCCTTTTTGGCAGGCTCCTATGATGTAGAAAAGCAGGAGAACTCAAACGAACGGAAAGTCATGCAGCTATTTTTTTCGTACTTGGGGAAGGGAAAAAAAGAAAACACCAAACCCAAACCGCTGAAGGGATATTCTTACAGAAGAACTTCATTGCATAAACTCGGCCACATGTCTACTAGAGCAATGTCCCTTAACGACCTCTGGCAATGCAATTAAGTAACAACCAGGCAGGGAGGAAGGCACAGCTCTGCATGGGTAAGACCGGCCGGATCTGACCCACAGTTGATCGCGACACCCATTTTTGACTTGGGGGACAAGAAAGAGACTGCATCCCCTCACCACCAGCCCAACTCACTCAACTTCTGCAGCTCTGTTTACCTGCGGTTTGCATTTGCGTCCTACTCTTGAACCACAAGCGCTGCCGGCTTCCAGTGTGGTGGAGCTATTTTTGCTGGAAATAGCATCTCACCACACTCAACAAGGAAGTCGCGTGTACTTTTAAGGTGTTCTTCACCATTTGCACTAGCAGGTTTGTTTGGGGACTAATTTAGGCTAGGGAGCACTATCAGCCCCTTGCCTGGACTACCTCCCTGGAGAGAGAGGGGCTTTCTCACTGGGAAAGATGGAACAACGTCATCTCTCAAGCAGAGATAAGTTAGGTGGTCTCAGCCGAGTCCCCCAGTGAGGCAAATTACCACCTCTCCACCCTGGCAGGAGTCCCAGCACTGGCATGAACAACTGTGTACCCGCAGTGGGGATGACCTCGCAGGGGAAGGGGCACACACAACTGCATACACAATTTGTTGGGTTTTCAACCCCTCTTCCATCCCCGGCAGCTGTGTGCGTGGGTACCGGGTGTCCCCGAGATGCAGTGCAATGCAACAGAAAGGCCGAAGGCATGAGCAGGGAGGCAACCGCTGGGCAAAGCAGAGCAATGTGGCTGGAGAGCTGCCAAGGCGGCCTCGTCGCAGCCCAACCACCCCACGACACATCATTCGAGGGACACCAAGTCGCCGTTGGTCGGGGTGATGCCTACCTCACGGGTGAAGAGGATGGCAGCGTCATAGTGCTCGTCGTGGTCGTCGTCGAGGCGGTTGTGCTGGTGCTGCCACTTGCAGAAGTTCTTGAGGGTGGTGGCGGCGTTCCTGTTGACCTCCAGCCCCTTCTCCTTCTCCCCCAGGGCCACCACCTTCACCACGGCCAGACGGACGTGGTTCTCCAGGCTGGCGTGGGCGTAGAGCCGGGAGGCGATGGAGGCCAAGGTGAGCAGGTAGTGCTGCAGCCCCTTCCCGTACTTGCGGACCATGGAGG